TAAGCAAATCGAGCGCCCTTTCTCTAGGGTCTAGGGCGCGCTCGATTTGCTTACCCAGTCGGTCTCCGCCAGTCACGTGACATTTGTTGCTAAGACGCCATTTTAGGTGGAAAAGGCGTAGTGTAAACAACCGCAGCATAGCTAAACGAAGGACTAAAGGCCCATTTACATAGCAGCCTGTCCAAGATAAGTCATTACAGTTAACATAAGCCTGAAAACAGGGGCGGATTTATTGATATTATTAATTAGTATTTCGTGCGCACGTTATACTTATTACGTGGCCGCGAAATACTACTTCGTGGGAACGAAATACTACTTCGTGGCCACAATTAAACATTTTTTTTGACCATGTCATAGAGGGGCTCCGTATAGAGCAGATTGATAGAAGAAAATGTTGTTTTTTTTATCTTAACCCCTAACTCAGTGAATTACTTTGAAAATCCAAATTTCCAGCCAATAGTGTTATTGGAATCCAGGACCAGACCTTATTACCTTTGTAACAGTACAAAAATATGGATATTTTGATGGCAAAAATGAATGTCAATGTAATAACAAGAATAATAATCAAATTGTTTTTATTAGTTTTTCATATTAAACCAACAGACACGTCCAGGGCATACAAAACAAAACAAAAAGACTCCATAATTACATCACACCGACATCACAAAAAAAAACATAAACCAACTATCAACAAGACAATTACTACACCCGCACATACAACCCATGTTGCCAACATCCGTGGGTTGAAAACCAAAAACATAAGTATGAATAACAATCATAATGAAAATAATTCCGCCAAACAGAGAAAAAAAAAAAAGAAAAAGCTGCTGATTATGCTGAAGCAGATGGAACTCCGGATTCAAACTAAGAAATAAAAGGTTGCCAAATCTCAAAATATCTCCTAATGGTACCCTGTGACGTAAATCGAAGATGTTCTAGCTTTAGGTGCGCCATTACCTCCTCTATCCATCGTTTATGAGTTAGTGGAACTGCCTTTACCCAAATAAATAGGATCAATCTCCTGGCCAGCAGCGAAGGAAATGCCATTGCCTTCCTTTGAGCTGTCGTTTAATGTAAAAACAAGAAACGGCAACTTGTATATATTAGGAAAAATAACAAAAGTGCTTCTAGAAGAAATTCAGGAAAAACACTCTGAGAGTGAAAGAAACACTTTTTTTGGTCCAACAAAACCTTAGGGGCATTAATGCTGATACTAAATAAATAATCTTGGTATAAATCCTACTCTAAATGGTTCGCTCTATCAGCTAACACTCAGTTATCACTTTTTTCTAGAATTCAACTTTATTGTCACAAGTACAGAGCTACGAAATTCACTCTCTGCATTTAACTCATCGCCTTGGGGAGCAGTGGGCTGCCATTGTGCGGTGCCCAGGGAGCAGTGTGGGGTTAAGGGTCTTGCTCAGGGACCCAGAGGTGAAGCCTCTGGGAATGGGGCTTGAGCTCCTAACCTCTGGGATCCAAGCTCTATGCTCTAACCACTAGGCCACCACTCCCCTCCTACCAACAAATGTTGGATTCATGAACTTCCTTCCACCAAAATAAAGATAGTTTACTTTACTAAATTGTGGTTTCAAATTCCTTGTTTTCAAAAGACGCTGCCAAATAGTTTCCCATGGCTTTTTTTAAAAAAGGAAACCAGCCCACAGCATCACTCACCTTTCACCAAGCTTAAGAGTGAGCATAAAAAGTTTTTCTACTGGGTTAAAATTTGCTCTATTTTTTATCAAACAAAAAAAAGTTCTCGATGAAGTGGCGCGTAGCAAAGTATCGTCTACATGTTTACATCGGTGATGGTAGGACACTGCTGGGGTTTTTGCTGTCAGACAGCGTTGAATGGTTGCTATGGAGACCTGATGGCCTGGAGATCTGACTCTTCCTGCCTCAGTTTTCGATCATTTATTAAAAGGCTAGATAGGTTATGATTATAGGTGGTGAGGTGTGAGAATGAGCTGATGACCAGCTTAAGGGGAGAGATTGTTGCATTGTCCATACGACATTATTTTATACATTTCCCTTTAGTTTAATCACCTTTATGTATCAAAAATGTGCTTTAATTTTTCTTTGGTGTCTTTAATCTTCTTGGGCCTAAATGTTCTTTTATATAGCTGAAGATTGGGGGAGACGTTTTTTTTTTTTTTGTTCATAAAAAATTGGATTTGATATTGTTGCCATCCCAATTTTTAATAGAGAATGCCGAAAAGAAAACTGTAATACAATTCAATTCAGTTTATTCCTATAGCGAAACCTCAGTGTGAGCGGCCGTCTGCCGAGACCCACTGGGGTTCAAGGAGACAGAAGCAGAAATACTTTTAAAAGGATAGTCTGGTGAAAATGGCCGATTCTAAGAGTTGTTGCTATGTGAGGTATTCAGATGCACACAACAGCACTCCCACTGCAATCAGCAGATAAATCTTTCCTTTTTCTTTTGGACATTTAAAAACCGTTGCTTCATTAGCTCCCAGTCTCTCACCTGTCATGTGTGAAACCAGTACAGCGTGCAGCCCTGGCATTATAGGACCTGATGTGACACTTTGTGAGGCGACAGACGTGATGTCTCTCTGTTCTGGTCTGCCATGGTTCTTCATCAGAAATCAGATGAAGCAGGCAGTGAGTTCACAGCAGACAGAGCAGAGTAGAGCAGAGCTGTGAATTCTACGTTTATACGTAACATGTACAGCAGTAGCCATTCAAAATGTCCCCACTTTCCTTGATGGGTCCCTGGCTGTTCCCTGGCTGATCCCCTACAATTCCTTTTTAACCTCTAACCATCCACCTCATTTTGGATAATCCTATTTTGCATACCCAAATGGAAAAGCAAATAACTTAGGAACTGTATTCCAAAATTACATGTGCAATACATTATTTGAAAGCTAACCCTCTAGTTTCCTAATATATAAATTCAAATTGGGTGAGTAAAACACAGACCAACCTGCATCAGTTCAAACATGACTCAAAGTTGGGTTTTTATATATATATATATATATATATTTGATAGTTCTTTTGTGAACAGCAGTAATAAAGACATTCTTGAGAAAAAGCAGGTTTTATTGTATTATATTTTTTTCTGCATCATGTCAACCACAAATGCAGAAAATGTCAGACCTCTAGCTTTAACAATTCCAGATCTGTGGGGTTTGGTGTCAGCTTGGAGCTGCGCAATGGCTCCACC